TTTTTTTTTTTTCAGGACGATATATAATCTCGTGAAGTCACCTGCTTATTGGCTCTCGATATTGCTGATAACAGTTTTAGGATTGCTCCCTCGATTTATTTTCAAAGTGTTTCATCAGATTTTCTGGCCTTCCGACATCCAGATAGCTAGAGAAGCTGAAATTTTGAGAAAAAAGCATAGATATTTTTGGTCAAAGGCTGATCAGGATTCAAGCTAACGTTGGTATATGGTGGGCATCTATCTGCACAAGTTTGTTTTAATGTGCCATGTCATTAGCATTCAGGCATTTAAAAATCATCTGTAAGTCCAACCTTTCTTTTCCTGTATTTTCTGTCCAAACATATTCTCATTTTACAGGCAAAATTTAAGAGTTGAATCATTTACTACAAAAATATTGGTGTAATAGTTGAGAATGCATGCTTAACTCCAATTAATTCTCATTTTGGCCGAAAACATGTACCTTCTTTACCACATGCTTGTAGGCTGTAGCTTTACAAGTGTTTTTTTTTTTTTTTTTTTTTTTTTTTTTTTCATCATCATCCTCCAGAAGCATGAAGTTTCCTGAAGTAATTTTGGTATGTGGCGCAAAGCAAACAGGCTAGAGAGTGCATCAAGTGGTCAAGTGGCAATAAGTAGGGGAAAAAGAGTATCTTGGTTGAAATTGAGGAACAAAGTATTCAATTCTGATAAAAACATTGTATGTGTCTCCTGAATGATGCTTGATATTGATTATGGAGTTTTACTAGAGTCTGAGATAATTTTAGCCAGTGACTAGTGCCTAAAAGAATGATCAGAAACAAAAACGAGATACACAGGGGAAGCAGGGAAGACAAAATGCGGCCGTGTATATAGAAATTAGTTTTTTTTTTTTTTTTTTTGGTACGACGCACATTTGTAAGAAATCGAGCAATTTTATTTACGTCTCAGTGTAGTTCATTCGTGTAAAAACATTTTTGTTGCCATTTTTTTTCCCTTTTTGTGACTCGGCTGAGCTGTGTTTTGTCGACCATTGGTTGAAAAAGAAGAAAACATGAGCGGGAGATCTCTCACAGAAACCAAACAGAAATAGCATCTGATTAGAGGTGTAGTATTAATATCTACCGTCAAGTTAGTACCAAATCAGTGGATTCGTATCAATTGCTCTATTATTCATTTGTTTAGTAGTAATTTGCTGAAGCAAACTCGCGAAGAAAAGCGTACATACATACATACAGATAAAAAAAGTGATACTAAGAAAACATTTCAAACTGTCTGTCTACTTGATATGAATTTCCAGGAAATGAAAGACAATAAAGACAGTGTGAAGTGTGAATGCTGCTTATGCTGCTCTTTTGAATATTTATTTCGTTTTCCACACCTTATTTTCCAATGCAACTAACTCACCATTACAACTGAGATAAGATTGGTATGAAATATTTGGTAGTAGTATTATTATATTAATAAATCCTCATCATCTTGTCTTTTACCCTACTGTTGCCCACCACCGAATACCGGACACCTTGAGGGGCCGGAGGGAAGGACTATCTGAGCCAGGAGACTACGTGTCTTCATTATCCGGCCAGATTCCGGTTAAAGGGAGTTCTTCGTTCCTCTCTCCTTTTATTTCTTATTCCCAGCATTTTTACTTGATTAGTTCTTGTTAAAGCCACTGAAGTTATTTTCTTAGAAATTTACTTAGTGTATTTTTTCCCTTTTCTTCTATGTCATTCTTGCTGTTAATCCTTTGTGCTTTGTGCTGAAATTCGTAGGTGAAACGGGCTGAAAAAGCAGTGGAAACGAGCAGCTGGAACCAGCCCGAGAGTTTGGACAGCATACCGGGAGT